GTCTTATATTCTGAAATGCTAAAAAAATTTGCAGGCAAACAAATATTATTTTTTACTCTGGATAAGACTCAAATATGAATTATTGCTTATTATAATTTTGCCCATCATCTGACTTGATATGTTGCTAAGACAAAATCATCCCCCCAATATTTTATAATCTTTTTAGAGTAACATTGGACCTGTGAAGCCTAAATGAAAACTACTTTATGTTTTACATTGCCAAGTTTAACTCTGATCTATTTAACCATGTGCCCATATTGTCATGGGATGTACATTGTGCTTAGTCCTTCACCCTCAAACTCCATGACTGCAGTACAATAGGCATACTTTATATATAAGATGTTTTTCTGTTATGTTTTGCTCTGAGAGACATGGAATATTTACCAAAGATATATTTTTCTATTTACCTAATTCCATTTGCATAAAAATTACCAATTTGATTAGGTCATTTTATGACCTTATTTGATGAGCCAGTTTTAGAGGTTTTAATTTAAGAGCACAGGAGCAGAAGTAGCAGTATAAGGTACCTGTAACTTGGGATACATGGATCAATACAGACTATAATACTTTACTGTATCTCATGCAGTATTTCTGTATTAAACAGATAGATGCTTGTATTTTTGCCATTTTACATTTACCTTTGTGACATTTAAGAAAATGAGCAGTAGATGTATTTTATAGTTTGTTTTACAAGTGGCATTTGGAAAGTTCTGGAAACTCTGTTCATGATTAAAGGTATGCATTGTTTAGGTTGTATCATGTAATGTGGACCCTAGGCTGCAGGTGAGAAATCTTAAATGGGCTGTAAAATTTCCAGCAGGAAATGGAGGATGGAGAAGCCTCTTTTATAACTCGTAAAATGCGAGTCATTGTAATTGGCCCTGATCACATGATAAGCTTTTTCATGACTAATAATCCCTTCTTCAAATTGGTTAGAAGTGCTTTGAAAATGGTATAGTCAGAGACTTTATGTGTACTGTAGCAGTAGACAGTGCTGCTAGTGTTGCAGGGAAGAAGCAAGTGTTTGCTCGGGTTTAAGAACAGCAGAATTCAAGCTGAGAAGGAGCTATCTCAGAAATGCTCACAAATCCATCAATGTGTGCACCACTATGAGCACAGCTTGGAGCAGAATAGACTCCATGCTGTGTAGTCCTTATGAAAGACAGGTTTTGATTGATGTTCCCACCTTGTAACTTCTAAATTGTGTAGTTGATGTATTCTGACATCAGTTTCTCAACTACACGGCGCAACACTATATCTCAGTGCTAAGCAATGCAGACTGATTGTCCTTTGGTCTCACTTAGTACAATAATAAATGCACATAACTTAGAAATCAATTGTCTGTAAATTGGGGGGGGGAGAGGGAATCATATTTTACAGATGTATACTGACATTTGTTGCAAAGGATCTCAAAGAAATAATAAATTATGCAAACACTTTTATCGTGCCCCTGTCATGCAGGCATACATATTGGAGATGGCATCCTGCCAGCATGTATCATGAACTGATAATGGAGGGAAAACATTGCTTTAGCATATTCTCTCAGGATGACAGGCATAAACTCTTTATAGTCTGTGAAGAGCAATATCTTCTCATTTATAATGTCATTTGAAAATAATTAGAAAAGTACACAATGAATCTTCTTTGAAAGGTTAGGGTACCTTACACAGATGTGAACTTCCGGTTCTTGGGAATCAGAGTCTTTCCAGATGCAAAGACTGTCTCATAATTTCGTCCTCCCTACCTGCCTTTATCTGAAGGCACCAACTCCATCCCTTGTGGGAGTGAAAATAATTGGTACAAACCCAAATTTTATGTGAGTAAATAAACAAATTTCTAGCTCTGTGTTTGCATAAAGATACTAATGATGATAATGCTATGTAGAACAATGTAAGTTATCCAGGTAGAGCTCCTAGGCTGAATAAGTGAATTACTGTTATTAAAACATGAACATAATTAAGCACTTTTCTGAATTACAGCTGTTGTGGCCACAAAGCACGTAGTGCAGCTCTTAATTGTGAATATAAAAATGAGCTCAGCTTTGACTATCATAATGCTGATTCTGGAATGCATATATAATAAATATAATAGATTTCTAAGAAAAAAACAATGTATTTGAGAAGACGCATGTAACACTGCATGGCATATGGGTACTAGGCAGTGCTACTTTGTGGTTTCTTTCCTAAAACTGTTTCACAATACTTTAACCCCTAGTTACAAATAGGAGTCAAAAGATTTTATTCTAATTTAGAACTGAAAATGTAAACTCATGCCATTACAGAATGACTAAAAGTGTGTGCTGACTATGTAAACAGGGACCACTGAGAGTAACTTCTAAATGTGGCCCTACTAAATTTACCCTTTAAATAGCTGGGGGAGAAATAGTTTACTATTAGTAAACATACATGTATTTTTCATTATGTTTGTAGTGCTAAAGTGAAATATGTATGATTTTTTTTTTTTGTAATATCAACATAGATAAAATTATGCTATCATCCCATTTAATATTTCATTCAGGTCCCTGAATAGATTAAAACATTGCTGATATTCAGAGAGCCAGCATGCTACCATTTCATTTTACATTCTGCAAACAAATAAGGATGTACATGGGCTTACTGTCAAGAACTGTGTTCACCTAGGTTGAATATGCAAAGCAAGTAATATGTATTAGCACACCATCAGAAAGAAAAAAACCTCTCAAATTAGGTAACCATTAAAATGTATATCAATATAAAGCATAAGGAAATTTAAATTCACTCTTAAAATGCCTATATTTTGGTGTAGTGTTTAATATTAGCCAACAATATTGCAAGTAGCTGGGTGTATGGTAATGTGTTCTTAGGCTGTGCAAGCTAGAACAATAAAAGACTTTTGGATTACACTTAGCAAAAAGGAAGATACATGCTTCTTGAGTAGTGTAGCCCACAAGGATACTACAGTGTCATATAAGAAGAGTTTTTGCTAGCAAGAGTTTCAGATTTACTACTAAAATGGTCTGAACAGGAATTAAATATATATGTCCATTACCTGCACTAGCTTTGTAATGGACAGTAAATCTGTACTGGTAGCAAGAGATAAGAAACAGCTGTTCTCAACCTCTGGGCTTCTGCCAAAAATGAAATTATTATTCTCTTAGCATAGCTGTAAAAGTACCATGTATTTTGTCAACTCAAATTTATGCAAGGCTAGAATCATCCAGAAAACCAAAAGTGTGATATAGACAGCTTCACAGCAATCTCTTGAAGGAACACTAAATCCAATTATGCATAACACCATGGAATTGTTTGTTATTCCTATAGCACTTAGTTCTCATGAAAGCAAAGTATTTCTTACTTTTCTAATGTATCAAAACCACTACCATACATAAGATTCTGTGATAGTAAATTAGGACTGCAAAGCTCTTGCTCAGATTAATTCAGAAGCAACAGAAGAAATACACCTTCCAAAAAAAACCCAAAAAATGTAGCAATGTATTCTTTCATTTAGGTACTGAATGAAAACAAACAAAGTGGAAGAAGTGTAGCTCAGTGGTATTTCCATTGGGAATATTAATGATTGTTTAGGAGAGAAATATGTAAAGTCAGTTTTTAGTTAATACTGAAGGGTATTTTACTTTCAAACATTATAACTTGGTGTAATTCTATACAAATTAGTCCTCAAATAATACCAGTTCCCAAGGGTAAGAAACCTTAACGTTGTCACTGAGTAGGAATTTTAAAACTATTTGTCAGAACACATATTAACACTCAGGTTAGTTTTACTGAATAAAAACTTACAAAGGAATTACCAAGGAATTGATAGCATAAAAATTCTAATCTATGTCTAACTCCTTCACTTCAATTTCCTACCCCCCGGACTGTGATTTGGTGACTTTGTTAAAGTATCTGCATCTTGGGAGTGGCGTTTTTAAAGTATCTATTTTGAATAAGAGAGGGAAAGAATATACTCAGAGCCAAATAGCAACTAATTACTAGTCTTGATAACAATTGATCTCCTTTGTGAACAGCAGGGGTCACTAAAAAGAAGGGTTACACTGGGTAAAGCCAAACAGGCTGCTTTTTTTCCCCAGCAGATCGCTTTTCATATATTTTCTTTTTTAATCACTATATTAAAAAAGAAAATTCTTGGTCCTACTGGGCTTGACAGATAACAAATTCTTAACAAAAACAATTATCTTTCCATTATGGCCTAAACTCTATGTTATCTCTGCCTCTAATAAAACTTATGATAAAAAAAAATAATTTACAACTGTTTTGCCAGCAATGAGTTTTATAGGAAGCATTGTTGCAAAATGTTTTCATTATATTGTAAACTGATGTTGATATATAACACTGTGATAGCCAAGAGCGAGTAATGTCATTTTGTATTTCTTGTGATCACACTGTCATTTTCCCCATTATTTGCTGTTACTGGAAATCACTAAGACACAATTAGTAATGTGGAGAAATAAAAATGAAATTGTTCTGTTTAGAATAAGTCATGAGGAAAAAAAAAAAACCACAAACACTTGGATGGTGTCTCAGTGTAACTTCAGTCAATGTAAAATGTAAACAAGCATGTAATTCTGTTCCTAGGATGCAAAGCAGCGACCACACAATGACAGAAACTGAAGAACACTCAGTCACATTAGGAGGAGCAACCCCACAAAAGAACATGCCAGACAGACTGTGCACTCTGCTTCCTATCTGTCCTGCAAATTTAGTCATCAAGGGGGGGCTGGGGGGTGGGGGTGTGTATATAATCTCTGCTGCTGAATGACTGCAATTTCTCTCAGATTAGGACAGAAATTTCAGAACAGCAAGTTAATCCATCCTTCCTTCATGGGCAACTGAGCAAGCAGACCTATATCAGTGTGGCCAAGCGTAATTCTAGAGATTAACATTGTCTTTCCTGTTTACTTTGAACTTGACCTCCATGTTTCTGTTCTGTTTCTAGGCATGTTTGTATGTATGACTGTATGTTTGCAGTTATTTATTTATTTGTTTGTTTGTTGTTAACAGCTTCTGTCCAAGGCCCCTGGGAGAGAGCAATCTCACCAAACAAAGTGCCGTATTATATCAAGTGAGTATAAATAGTAACTCATTCCAGCTATTTACATTTGTCACTTAAGAGAATAGTTAGTAATTTTCTTTGATTTTCGTGAACTGCTCCTGTGTTGTCTAAATGGAAAAACAAAAAGGAGTGAAGGCTGTAATACATTTCAAATAAGTGTGCTAGTTATTTAAAAGGCCAGTTGGATGCACTGATTTGTAAATTGGTTTGGTTTTTTACTACTGTTAAGTGACCAAACTAAGAAAAGCTTTGGGATCTTTTGACAAGGGACAAATTAGTCCCTATGGACTGTTCTTTTAGAGTTCAGCTCCCAGATCAATCTGATTTGCTTTAAGAGGTGTGTATGCATAACAAATGAGAAGAAAATAAAAAAAAATAAATTTTTGAAACACCTGCGTCTAATGCCCTAAACAGAACCACTACACAGCAGATAAGAAAGAAGTTTTAGTATATTCTTTTCCCTCTTCTTTATTATCTGTAATACGTGCCTTGAATTAATTGTATGTAACTTCTGAAGGAAATGTGATGCAACACTTGTAACTGGGACTGTAGTGCAAGTAACTGAAACACAGGTGTTGTTTAATACACACATTCACGCTGTTTCTTGTTATATTCCCAAAACACTTGGCAAACTTAACTAGTGTCATTGAAGCCACCTGGTTACAAATGGCTCTTGCAATGGCACTTCAGTTGCAACTTTCACAACAAGGTGAACTACTACAGTACCTTCAGAACAAGCATTTTAGTTGCACATGAAGAAGACTTAAGTCTATAGTGCATTCAGAGGTACAGTTATACCTGGCTAAGTTGGCTTAATTTTGCATTGAATTTGTAATTTTTCTGATGTCTGTATTTGGCTATGAATAATGAACAGTCACAAAGAAGCTAGAAAGCTCTATCAAGGAGGGACAATCTACAGTAGACAAATGCTGGAAAGCAAGTTGATACTCCGGCATGTAAGGATCATTTATGGCACAGCTGTGAAGGAAAAGATGGAATCATAGAATCATAGAATAGTTAGGGTTGGAAAGGACCTCAAGATCATCTAGTTCCAACCCCCCTGCCATGGGAAGGGACACCTCACACTAAACCATATCACCCAAGGCCTCGTCAAACGTGGTCTTGAACACTGCCAGGGATGGAGCATTCACAACCTCCCTGGGCAGCCCATTCCAGTGCTTCACCACCCTAACAGGAAAGAATTTCCTCCTTATATTCAATCTAAACTTCCCCTGTTTAAGTTTTAACCCGTTACCCCTTGTCCTGTCACTACAGTCTCTAATGAAGAGTCCCTCCCCAGCATCCCAATAGCCCCTGTTCAGATACTGGAAGGCTGCTATGAGGTCTCCACACAGCCTTCTCTTCTCCAGGCTGAACAGCCCCAACTTTCTCAGCCTGTCTTCATATGGGAGGTGCTCCAGTTCTCTGATCATCCTTGTGGCCCTCCTCTGGACTTGTTCCAACAGTTCCATATCTTTTTTATGTTGAGGACACCAGAACTGCACACAATACTCCAGGTGAGGTCTCCCAAGAGCAGAGCAGAGGGGCAGGATCACGTCCTTTGACCTGCTGGTCACGCTCCTTTTGATGCAGCCCAGGATATGGTTGGCTTTCTCGGCTGTGAGTGCGCACTGCCGGCTCAAGTTCATTTTCTCATCGACTGGCACCCCCAAGTCCTTCTCCACAGGGCTGCTCTGAATCTCATCTTTAAGATTCTTTAAGATCTTCCTCTTCTCTTTGCTCTGGTATGACTTGCCATTACAGGGAGAGAAGGCAGTTCTTAATGTAGGCACAAGATGCATTTCATGCTGTGCTTCCCAACTCACTCTGTTACTTGCACCCAGTAGCTATAGGTAACTGTTGACCCTGTGCTAAAACTGCCAGTGATGCTCTTGCTTATACTTTACTAGTTTTTAGTCTTCTGTTCCAGGCCATTTACACATTCAAAGGAATAAATTTGTTTCATTTTGTTCAGCTTGGAAAGTGTATTAATAGCCATAATGAGTTGTAGCATTATATCACAGATCCTGACGACTCTACAAACTTGTCCTGAATGAGTGACTTGGATTGCTTTAAGAATCACCATCAAAGGTATTATTAGTAAAAGTGGGTTTAATATGATTTTGTAAAAGTGTGACTAAGCAAAGTTTGATGGCAAGGTTCACTCCATTATTTACTACATGGAAGAAACATATGGAGGAAATTGAGTTAAGATTGAGCTAGAATGATTTACACAGAGACTGGAGATCCAAAAGGGTGAGGAAGACCCTCCTGTTAAGTCACAAGGTTCAGAATGGACCCCCTTGCTTTCTAAACTCCTTCTCCAAGAGGAGTCTAGGTGCGGCTGGATCCAGACTTAGTCCTAGACTTGGTGAACAGTTTATGTCAAAAGGACTATATATGCAAAGTTTGTAATAATTGAGTAGTTATGTGGAATACTGATATTTCGGTAGTATTAATTCTATATGCTATCAGTCACTTACCAAGGAGTTATCATATATAAGGGGTCTCTCTGCCTTGGGCAAGGAAGGATCTCTTAGTCTCAGGTAAAGAATCTTAAACCTTAAGAGGTGCCCCTGCTCAAGGGGAGAGTCACCATGCAATCCAGCTGCAATTCAGGCAGAGCTCAAACTGGGCTCATCCAAATATCTGCTGTTGGTAAAAGGTGTCTCTGCCTCAAGGAGCAACCTTGAGAGGTATCCCAGCTCAGAGGAGGTCACCACCATGCAGCCCTGCTGCTCAGCTGGGAGAACTCAAAGGCAGCTCATGTAGGCTTTCATGGTTATGGACTATGTGGTGGTTGGCTCGTAGTCAAACTGCATACAATGGGAAAGGTATGCAGGAGAGTCCTTATACCCACAACTTGCTTTGCTCCTTGATAAATGAGCCTTGTAAAAGCCAGATGCTGTTTATGCAGCAATCACGTGATTGGTGTTCCAAGCCCACGTGCACTGATGTTCACTGGGTCACTCTGCTCCTTTGTGGGTTTCCTACATGAATTCTTAGCCCATCTACAGCTCAGACTTTTAACTTCTTTGAAGACTGTACAAAAGTAGTGCTAGTTTGTTTAAGAGGTCAAGTGCATCCAACACGTGTTATTAGTTTAATTAAAGTTTAAATTCAGCCACATTTTTTACAGAAAAACTTGCTTTCCTTGAGGAAAAAACAAAATGGTGAAGTTTTAATGAGCCCTAGTATACTGTTGCATCTATTCTCTACTGCAGCTGCCCTCAGCCATTTTTCTTTTCATTAATTCTGATCACTCATATTTCATATTTGCACACAACTAGATTGTTTTCTTTACCGTTCTGGCTTTTAAACTTAGCACATTATTTCTTTAATTTTTGACCTATTACTTTCATATTAATTGTTAACTTTCTAAAAGAGCTTCCATGAAGACTAAGCAGCTACAGATAGCATTCTTTTCATGTTTACATAATTTTCTGTCATTGACGTAGAATGTTGGAGCTAGACCCCTTCATTAACCAGATTTGCTACACATTTTATTGGTTTTCATTTTATATGGTTTTCCCTTGATACTTAACTGCTTTATCTCATGTTCACATTTTGAGTGACATAGCATTTGATAAATCCATAAATCAGGTGCTACTTAGCGCTAAATCTTCAGCGGCAGTGTTTGCTTACTGCTAGGTATCTTCAAGCCTTGTGATTTTCCTGGTAAATAGTTCATTTTCATACAGTTGATTAATCTGTAGCATCTACGTACCTCTAACCTATCACTTAAATATTTCCTTCTTGAGATTATTCGTAACAGTTTGTTTTGTTTTGCTTTTTTTTTTCAAATTGTAGTCCTGTAGGCATCATTGCCATGGAAAATATAATTGACAGTGTACAACCTGTTTCAGTATTCCCAGTCTCTGCCATTTTGCAGTTTCTTGGCCTTCTTTCATTAGACTGCATGGAAATTGCAGTCTAATGGCTGTGCACCAGCTCCTGCATTCTGGTGGATTTCCTTCCACACTTTATGTGCTTCCCTCCTTATGGAGATGATAAGCTAGGCCAACAGTTCAGCAACACCTCTCTCTTCTCCAGCAAGCTGAGAAATCACATTTTTGTGTTCTAGGACAGCAGAATTATTATGGCTTCCCAAGTACCAAGTGGGCATTGCTTCTTGGGTACCAAGCACATGCCCAGCACAAAAGGTGTTACTGAGTTAAAAAACTCCATTTTGCCTCTGGATTAAAACATTTAAAATTGCTCAAAACCACATTTTATCCACCCTTTTTTTTTTTTATCCCTTGATATATTCGTGTGTCTAGTACAGGATTTAAAGGTTTTATTAGACTAAAAAAAGGGAGAGGAATATAAAAAAAAATTAGTTTTCTGTTTAATTAGTCCTATTCTTTGAAGACCTTGATCCTACTCTTACTGGAGTTCAACTCAGAAAATGGGTAGGTAGAAGCAGGCACAGGCATGTCTGTACTCATTAATAATGCTTTAGGCATTCATTAAAATTTCTAAATTTAAGTTTTTGGAAGACAAAACAGGCAATTAGTGTACCTCAGAAATCTGAAAAGCAAATGGAAAAAAATACATAGTACAAAGACTACTGAATGTGCATTGAAAGATTAAAAATGTCTCAAATTCCAAAAAGGACAGATAATGAAGATAGGAGTCTGCAGATTTTAACTTCATATTTCAGGTTGGATCACATTTAGCAGAGCTCACCCTATGATGAAAGGGATCTCACATGTGCATGCATACACATGCACATTCTTACCTTTTAATGAAGCAGATAGAGGGTCTGCCCCAAACCAGTGATAGATAGCAACATCATATGTCTAATCTGGATTTTGCAACACCTAAAGAAGCATTCAGTCATGTTACTCAACCCAATTCCTCTTCAGTGTCCATCCTCCTGGGGCATGAGGGAATACTAAGCAGCTATAGTCTAAGTCATGTTGGCATCTCTCTTGTGTATGGCTTATCCTGCACTCAGTAGCCACATCCATTACACAGTGCTAGGAGATCTCTGTTGCCTTGGAGTA